GGTGAATCCTCTCACCTTCCACATCTCTGGCCTGTACCCCAATTCTGTATGAATAAATAAGTAAACCTTTAATATATATATATGTATGTATGTATAGAAGAACTGGCATTCAGGCCACATATGTGAGAATAATCATCACTTTATAGCCAGGGAAAGAGATTTAGAGAAGTTAAGTGGCATAACCACTGTCAAAGCTGGTAAGTAGCTGAGTCAAAGTGTGGAACACCTAAGTTTGTCTTGTAGAAAAACATTATTTTTATTTACATATTTATTTTCATTGAGTCAATATTGGGATACCCCCATCAGCTATTACCACCATATTGCACCCACCACCAAATTACCCACATTTCACCACCACAGACCATTGTGCTTCCCTCCCTTTTTGTCCTTATCCTTCTCTCATCCCACAAGTGAATCAGTTCTGTAGTTAGTTATCAAGTGTTTTTAAGCATCTCTTTGTTAGTTTGGTTATTTTATATATCACATATTAGTAATTCCATCCAGTATCTATCTTTCTCCTTCTGACTTATTTCGCTTAGCATAATCCCATCCATTTCCATCGATGTTGCTACAAACCACATGAGTTTCTCTTTTTCTTATCATGGTATAGTATTCCATTGTGTTTCTGTAACACATCTTCTTGATCCATCCTTTTGTTTGGGGGCATATAGACTGTTTCTTTAACTGGCTATTGTAAAGAATGCTGCAATAAACATGGGAGTGCAGGTTTCTTTTCAAATTCATGTTTTTGAAATTTGGGGGTAGATGACTAGGAGTGGAATTACTGGATCAAATTGGCAGTTTCATTCCTAGTATTTTGACACCCCCCCATACCGCTTTCCATAGGCTGAACCAGAAACAAGTGCCAGCAAGGATGTAAACCAAAGGAAGCCTTTTTACACTACTGATAGGAATAAAAAACATTACTTTTTCTCATTCTTATGTTGCATGAAATAATAGTGATGCAAAAGTAGACATAGTCATCACAGATGATAATTAATGGCATGAAAGGAGAAGAGAGTGAAGGGTTTGGAGGCTGAATGTGGTGAGGGAAAAATGAGGATGATGGTTTGGACGTGGAAGCCTGACCTGAGTTTGATGGCTTTGGCCAAGGACTCAGGCAGTGAGTGCAGATCATTCTTTACTGTAAAGACTAAGTGGATTCTTTCTCAACAGTACCCAGAGGGAACACAGAAAAGATAAATGGAATTGGGAGGCAGAGGTGATTACCCACATGCCTCCAAGATAACTTTTTCCTCCTAATGACAAAAAAGAAATTACATACGTGCCCTAAAGTTCCTTTGTCTAAAAGTTTTTATATAAAACCTGGTTCATTTCTAAGAGAATAAATAAAATTCATTTTGAAAAACCCCATTCCCTGGCTTTTCAAGTTTTTCTTGTAGGCAATGTGTCTGTATGAAAATGAGACTAAGATATGAGAGTGAAACTAAATTATACCACAAGGTTAGAGAGATTTGAAATCTGAAATGAGTTTATATGGGAGGTCAGCCTCCCTTGCCACTTGAAGCCATTCCTTCTCCTGATCTTTTCTTCTCTAAAGGACTGACTCAAAATTGAACTACAGAGTGTTTGGGCCTTTTGAAATAAAATAAAACAATTAGTAGAAACTATTAGAGGAATACTCATTTTTAAAACTCTGTGAACTCAGTTAAAAGTGAAATATATGTCAATATACAAATGATGGATATGTGTATTTGGGGGAGATGCAGAATAAGCATTGCATTGTATCACAGTTAATTATGTGATTAGTGAAAGCCGTAACAAACCACTAACAAACAGGAATTATTTTCTTTCTTTAAAAGAAGCAAATGTGAGATGCTTATAAGACAGGGGAAAACGAAGTCCCCGAATTTTCTGAACTGGTATAAATAACAAGAAGAACAACTGTCCTAGATCTGCTAAGTTCCCTAGAGCGAGACAGCATATCCAGATTTTATAAAATGGAGATAAAGAGTGAGTGACTAAAGAATGTAATTCCTTTGAGAAACAGTGGTCATCCAGTTCCTGTCAAGGTGTTTGGGAGATAAGAACAAATGGGATTGCACTTAGGGGTTCTGTTCCTTAAAGGCTTTTTAGAGTTTGTTTTTAACTCCTGTGTAGCATCTCTTGAAAATGTGTGGAAAAGCTGATATGTCTCGGTGACTATACTTAAAATGCTGAGCCTTGTCAGGGAGAGCCTCTGGGGCTGGAGGGACCAAGAGAAAAGGATAAGAGCAAAGACAGGTATTTCTTCCCTTAAATTCACATCAGCTGCTGCGGGCATCTGTGTAGCTGCCAACCAGAAAGAAAAGAAACAGGAAAAAAGAGTCAGGAACACAGAGAGAAAAGAAAACAAGAAAGCTGGATAGCATTTTATTCTTTGAAGATTAATTGCATAAAAAATTATAGCACAAATCTGTTGTTAAAAATTAAAAGCCTGTTTGCATCTCTCTGGCCCTTGGGAAGATTATATGCAGTGACTTCTAGGCTATGCACCTACCCTAGAGTGATTGAGTTGTATGTTTCTGGAAGATTTTTACATGATTTTTTTGGGGGGTAATACTAAACCATTTTTGTTCCTGCCAGGCTTCTAGGCTCATATCCATAGCAATGGCCAGCATCACTCCCATGTGCTGTCTGGGTTTCCTGGGGTCTTTTGCAGGTACTCTGTGCTCACCTCCCAGCCTCGGCACCCTCTGTCTTCGTCAGAGTAAAGTCTTGAGCTACTTGACTTGCTTCACCTTCAGGCACTAAGAGTCTGGAAGTGCCAGGTAGTTTGCTTTTCCCTAGCGTGCCTTGTAGCTATTTCTGAATGGAGCAAAGCATGAAAGCCCAAGCCCTGCCTGAGGGAGCAAAAATTGTAATGCAGTTTAGGCTTCAGAGGTCCCTGTGGGATCAGGCTAAGGTTGAGATGTTGCATGAAATGCTCCCTTGATTGACTTTCTTCTCTGACCTGCTTCTTCAGTGTTCTTGAATGTTTTCTAGAATGGACCCCTAATACATCTCTTTCACATGAATCTTCGTCTCAGCTCCTGCTCCTTAGGAACTTCAAATAAGATGACTTCTTCTTTGAACATATGCACCACACATCTAAGTATTTAAAAATTGTACAAATGCATAGATCCATAGATCTTCTTGCCCCAGTTACCAGGGTTACTAGTATAATGTTACTAGTATAATGTTACAGTAGATGACATTTAAAATTTTATGCTTCAGAAGACACTACAGCTAACCAAGGTGATAATTTCTTAGGTTTTTTTTTTTTTTGCTGAAAAAATATTACTCAAATCTATGTAATAATGTAATAAAATAGAATTCTACAAAGGTTTTCAATAAAATGTCTTTTAAAAAGTAAAACAAAATAGTTTCCAGGTTAAATGTGCTTTCCTATTGAAAATTCCTATAGACTCAAAGATTACATAGGTTTTTCTTTATGATGATAACTGAACAGAATATACAAGGAGAAGATATGAAATTACCAAATCATATTGAACATTATAGTGTGATTAACTACAAACATACTTCATACATCAATTAGAATTTGATTTATGAAAAATGAACTTTTTTTTGTAGATACGAAAAGTGCTTCATCCACCTCATCCAGAAGTCACCTGTGTTCTAGCTCCAGTGAAGATGGACCTGCTCGGTGCTCCAGAAAAGACCATGCTGAAAACCGTCCCAACAAAAGTGCCAGAAGTTCATCTTCTCAGGAGCTGAGTGAAAATGCTGGGCCAAGAAAGTTCCATCTTTTAATTGAGGATTCTCTAGGAATTGAAACTGAAGACCAGGAAATAGTAAATGCAAACATGAGGACCAACTCTCTGTCAGTAAAGGAAGGCTTAGAGAATGTTCTCAAAGAAGAAACCAAGAAAGTTACTCAAATGATTGCAGAGGATATATCTGAGAAGTCTAGGAAGCGTGTTTCCAAGGAAGAAAAAGAAAAGGATAAGAGTAAGCTTTGGGACAGAAGCGATACTAAGGTGAAGGACAAAAAGGCAGGGGCCTGTAGGGTGGAGAAGGGTGGTAAGTATGTCTGTTGACCTGACCTGCCATCATTCCCATGCATGGAAGCTGATTTTGGCCATTGCTTTCTACCAAGCTTGGGAAATACTACTGTGTTAATGTCAGACGGATTCAATATTTTCCCTGTTTCTCTTCTTGTCACATAATCATACGTGTATTATCAGCTTGCTGTTTTCCTTCTATTGCAATATAAAAATTACTTGATTCTTCCTATAAAGCTTGTTTCCTATTTTCTGTAAATTCCTTCCTGTGATAATTCTATCTCAAGAATCAAATAAACACAGTCTGTGTCTGAAGGCAAGGGTATGTGTCTTTTTAGAGATCATTAAGACTAGCAAAAGTGATTGTTCTTAGCTGTGCATGTACTTACATATGCAAAGCTACCATTTAGGTGCTTTACTATGTGCCAGTTCTAAAGATTATGGATGTTAACTCATCTAACCGCCACGATACTTCAATAGACCTGTGACTTAGGCTCTAAAATCATCATCTCTTTTCTACAGATGATAAAATTACTTCTTGAACAGTTAATTATAAGGATTATACAGCTGATAAGGAGCATTCCTAGGATTTGAATCTGAGAGGAATAAGTCCAGTGTTTCTAAAAGTTTCCTGTTATATCTGTGAAAAGGAAATTGAAAAGTAGACAGACATATGAAAAGTTCATAGAAAGTTCCAGATTTTACTGAGTTCTCTGAAATCAGGTAACTTCTTGCTTCAGGCCTCCCAAGTATATGGGCTGGTGCCCTGTGACATGGGAGGGTAAGGAGAGTCCCAGGTCAATCAGATCCTAGTACCTTAGACACAGGGAAGTTCTGATGCTTCACTCAACTGTAGGAGGGAGGGCAGATAAGGACCAAGTTGTGTCCTGCAGACAGTCAGATTGGACCTGCCAGATTCTTAGTGCTCACTCTGCCTGCCATATGTCCATTCCCTGCTTGCGCTCATCTGTCTCCTGCCAACATAGTCCCACAATGAAATTATTTTTCACATCTTAACATTACCCAAATGTATCTGTGTTTTTTGTTTTTTAAGATTGATTTATTTGTGCATACAGAACTGGGGTATAGGCCAGAAGCTCAGGGGCGGCGAGAGGATTCACTAGAGACAGAGTGGGGAGCAGAACAGGCAGATCGACGAAGTACACTGCTGAGGGGAGCAGTGGGCGGGTCAGGAGAGGTCTGCCATGCCATGTGGTCACCTCCGGGGCAGGCAGGAATCGAACTCAAGCGGTAGTGACTTTAGCTTCTCAGTGCTGTGCTTAACCCGCTGCCCCACCAGGGAGGGCCTGTATCTGTGTTTTAAAATTTATGAATACTTTCTAATATCTGTAGTATTTCTCTTAGGACTTTATGATACTACTGGGGGCTATCTCTAGGAAGTGAGAATATTGAATCCTTAGTGTTTTTTAATTCAACCGTTCTTATTTATTTACCTTCTACTATCTGTGGGCACCACACCATGATCAAAAGATATATGTAAGAGAAGGTTCTTCCCCCAAAATATAAAGTGGAAGCGTTGGCCCCCTCAATAACTGGACTAAGGTCAGTGGTCATACATAAAACCAGAGAAGGGGTTTCAAAGGAAGAGAAATGTTTTTGGTTAAGGACCACTTGAAAATTGTGCCCATTTTTGAAGAATGTGTTTGGGGAGATTTTAAAGATTAGAGAAAATTTTGAAGGTAGGAGGAACAGAGAATGAAAACAATCCAGATAATGGCATGTAGTAAGACAAGGCTTTCAAATTAATTATAAAAAATAGCTCTAAAATCACAAGTTTTACAAATGTCAGCCTGTAGACCAAACTTGTCCTAGCCCACTTTTTGGTATTGCTTGTGAGCTGAGAATATTCTTTTATATTTTCAAGTGATAGTAAAAAAATCAAAAGGAAAATATATGGTCATGTGAAAATTAAATGCAAATTTAAGTGTTGGGAAATACAGTTTTATTGTAATAGATCATAGTTATTAATTATTATCTGTAGCTGCTGTTGATCTGAAAGACAGTCAAGTAGTTGCAAATGTCCCCTGTGACCCATCAAACCTTAAGAATTTGTTATCAAGCCCTTTACAGAAAAAGTTTGCCACCCCAGATATGGAATTATAACACAAAGACTGCTAATGTTTTCCAAAGGATTTTGCTATAGATGAGCCAAGATTTTCATTAAAGTATAATTGGAACTCTTTACTTAAAATAATTCAAATCTTTATTTTTAAAAAATATTTGTTTATTTATAGATACAAGGTATAAGAACTGGGGTACAAGTCAGAAGTGGAGGGGGTGAGAGGATTCACTACAGACAGAGTGGGGAGCAGAACAGGAAGATCTATTGAATACACTGCTGAAGGGAGCAGCAGGCAGGTGAGGAGAGGTCTGCTGCGCTATGTGGATTAGTTCCCTGGCAGCCATCTTGGGCTACAATTCAAAGTTGCAGTGGCTGGTGATAGCTTAATAGTGTTGTCTTTAGCCCTTTCACCACCAGGGAGGCCCTCAACTCCAATCATTAAACTTGGATTTTATTGTTTAGTTCTGGCTTATAATGCCAATTTGATAAGCTACTGATGAAAAAAAATTTTAAAGTTCAGCAATAATATTCTTATTACTTTTATTGCCAATTCAGAAAATTTGTTTACCTGAATTTTTTATATAAGAATTTATCTTTTGGAAAAATAATATGCAACTAATATAGACTGTAATGAGGTAACAGAATAGAAAAATGTTTGACCAGGGACATATATCCTAGAAGAATTTGTGAAATGAAAAGTGTTCAACTTTATTATTTTGCTCAAACATATTGGAAAACCTGTGTTCCTGAGTTGTTAGTGTCTATAATTTTTAAATTTTAAAAATTATGAAGATAGGTTCAGCTTTAGATGGGGACATTTTGCAACTGTTTTTCATTTTTGAGCTCTAGTATATGTACATGTATCATTATTAATGTTGTTTTTTCTACTAACAGCTAATGAAATAACATTAGAAAACAGAAAAGTCATTTTAAAAAATATAGATTTATAACATGCACACAATGTCACACATTTGATTTGACTTTTTATTTCTAAATTTAGAGATTTATAAATTTATGTTGTCATATTTTCATAAAATGTACTCTGTCTTTTATTTTAGTGTGATGCCATAAACAATTTTAATTTTTAAGCAATCTTTATGAACATGTATAATATTGTGCATTATTCCCATACTGTGATTTTTCTCATAATTTATTTCTCTACATTTGTATGTTGGATATTTTTCCTATTTTTATTATTACTAATAGTACTCTAGTGTCATACTATCTAAAACAATTTCAAATGTTAAATAATTTCCATAGGTTTGATTCCAAGAGTCAAAGATGATAGATATTGTAAGACATTTGACAGGCTCTTTTTCTTTCAAGATATTGGTTGAAAAGTTTATACGAAGAATAGACTAGAAAAAAATGCAAGCTGAAGTCCGTTGCCCAGCATCTACTCTTTTTCTGGAGAATAGATGATCCTGGGTAATAGATGATCCTGCAGAAAGTTTATATAGACAAAAATAAATGAACTAATATGTTATATGTGTGTGTGTGTGTGTGTGTGTGTATTATTTATTTATTTTACACAGAGGGAAGTAGAATACATTTTGTTTGGTAAGAGTTTTCACTTAATATACTATCTTGAACATCTTTTCATATCACCACTTGTAGTGTTTATAGACAAAATTTCTTAAAAATGCATTGCCTTTTGTATAAGAACAAATATGTATAACCAATATTTCAGAAAAGAACAATTTTTTCTGGTTTTAGATTTCCAGAGGCAGAGAGTACAATACATGGAAAAAGAAGATATTAATTGGTAAATCAAAACAAAGACCCTGTAACAGACTCAGAATGATATGGAGGAATTAATGCTACCAAAACTTATGGAAAAGTACATAAATCATTTGGGTGCTGATATTTTAAAAATATATTCAAGGAAATGACATAATAAATTTCTAAATATTTAAAATAACAAAAGGTCATAAATATTCTCAAAGTGCTTTAGAATAAACATTTCTAGGAAAATTTCAATAAAAATCAACTAAATGATTGCACAATCCATTATATAACTTTATGCCAAGGAAAGAGCTATGGCTAGTTTTCTTTTTTAATCGAAACTTCCAGTTTATAGCCCAGAGAAAGAGAAGGAATAAAAAGTATCTGCTTGAACTGAGTGACTAATGTGATTATCCTTCACATTATATAAACTTATATACATTAGAACAGAAGACTGGTGAAGACTGGATTTGTATTTTACTTAGATTCCTGACTAGCACCTTAGGTCAAAATGAAATGGGAGCTGAGATAGTACATGAAAGACTCTCTTCTATTTGAATCATGCTGGTCGTTTTTCATAAGACTTAAAATAAAAACTGGTTATGTCAAAAATAGGGTATAGAGACTAAAAATGCATACAAATATTTTGTGGCATCTAAGTTAATACCACTTAATCTGAATTGTTTTCACGTAAGATCATAGCAATGGATAGAATAGTAAAGTAATACATTTAAAAGCATTGTCTTTCAGATTGATAACACGAAATGTTATTTCCCAATCTTCCTTTTATTTTAAAATATGTCACACTTAATTATGCACTATGCACTGCGCCAAAAAATTGCAGGCAAATTAATATGAACTATGTTTTGCATGTAGTAAATTATAACTGTTAGTTATAATAAGCTAGTGTCCTTGGAGTTAATTCAGTATTATAGGCATAGTGCCATTTTAATGTGTTTGTATTTTGTTATTTTTAGTGTAAGTTGTCTTAATACATTGAATACATCCTTTGTAATCTTTTAATGTTGTAATAATTTAAGTGTATTAATTTGTGGAGATAATATAATTTATACATTATACATAAATAAATAGTAGCATATTTTTATGTAAAATGTAAGCAAAAGTAAGCATTTCATACTTTTATAACTGAGACAGGAGAAGTTATAGCACTTAGGCCTGCAATATAAATAATATTATGACTTATGCAAAATGCTATTTAGTTATCATGCAGGCAGGGTAAAATGGCCCCGATGAAAGAAGAAAATCATGTGTTATGACTTGCAGTTCAAATACAAATTCTGAATGAATTGTTAAAGCACATAGTTGTCTGTTCCAACAGTTTTTTTATCAGTCAATAAATGTTATAGGTCACCTGCTTTGTGCTACATACTGTCCTTGGTGTGAACATAATGAAGTACTTAGAAGGAATCGATATTCTGGGGAGATATTCCCATCAAGTAAATATAAATATATAATGGGATATCTGGGCTAAGTGTAAGAAGAAAAGGCAGGTAACAAGGAATGATGGCCTGCAGATGGGGTGGTATTTTAGGGATGCTCTCTGGTGGGGGTGGTATTTGAGTAGGAAACTAAGTATAGAGGTGAACCACTCTGTCTTCTGAAAAAACAGCATGCAAAGTGGAGGGAACAAGGAACAGCAAGTGTAAGACCTAAACTGGGAGCAGAGTTTTGGAGTGGAGGATTTCTGCAGCAAGAACAGAACAGAGAAGCAGAAAGTGGTAACAGTGAGGCCAGAGGGAGAGACTTGTGAGCCACGGGGTGGATTTTATCCTGAGATAGGAGTTAATTGGAAAAATTCGAGCATACAAATTATATGATCTGAAAGTTTTGAAAAGATTATTCTCACTGCTGTGGAAGGATAGATAGATTTTAAATGCAACTGTTACCTCCAAACAGCTGGTATCTGGAGTTTGTAATTAATTCTAGGTTTCTGTGGGCCATGTTTCAATGCCAGAGGAACACCTTCACTGTGTATGTAGATGATGTTAGTCATGAATTTTGTCATGGGGAGTTGTTGGGAAGATAATAGATTGGTTGCCAAAAATGATTAAAGCACACGGATAGCATGGTCAAGGTGACCAGCAACTTGAAGTTAGCTTGGGTATATCCTTGCTCTGCTTTTAGGGCCTTTAATGTTAAAAAATTAAAATTAAATGGAATTTAATCATAAAATTCAGATGAAAAGTTCTCTGTCAAACTTTCTTCTGATAGTGAATTTCTCAGGATTCATAGCATAGCATGTTTCAAGATGAGATTTGTTTTGTTTCAGAACAGAGGAGAGGAATGAGTTTAGAGAGGTTGCCTGTCAATATCGACAGCTTACCATGGTTCAGTTATTAAGTTATCAAAAATAGAAAGAACTGGTGGGAATAGTGACACTATCAGGAAACATACAATCCTTCACCATTACAGGTGAACACTTTGAGATCTCCACTTTATTTGAAAAACAATCATGAAGAAATATATATCAAAAGTTTCTAACAAGAGTATGCTCTTGACTCAGCAAATTCTAATTCCAAGAATTTATCCTAAAGAACTAGTTTGAAATAAGTACAAAATGATCATGTGATATTTAAAATAGCTTTATAATAACACATGTAAACATGGAAATAATATCCAACACCAGTTGGTTACCCTTCTATTGGATAGCCTAGTTTTAGTAAAATCTTACTATAAAACTCTATGCAGTTATTTAGGAACTTTTGATATTTAATATATGGAAATAGTCACAATATATTGCAAAGTGAATAAAATGGGATACAAAATGCTTTCCATAGTAAGAGTAAAGTAAAACAAACAAAAATAGAAATTCACCAAAGTGTGAACTCTAGTAACTGTCTCTAAGTGGTGAAACCAGATAACATTTGTTTTGTTCTCTGTACTTTTTTCTATTTTCAAACTTTGGGTAGTCAGTATGTACTATTTTTGCATTAGGGAAAATATATGGTTTATCTTAAAATATGTCTATTTTATAATAAAACGCTAAATTGTATACAAGTACATTTTGTTATTTTGAAAATCTTAAAATATCCTACATCATTTCTGAGAATTTTTCTCAGAAACTTTATGTAAGAACTCCTTCCATTTTGCTTCTAATGCTGTGAGAACTGACAGTTGCCTTTGCTTTTAATGGTCATATTTAAAGAGTGTTAAGGAGAGGACTCTTGAGGGGTCTAAACGGAAAGAAGAAACAATGAGATGTGAAAGTTGACACGTGAGTGCCAGCAAGCACAGTTGTCCTGAACACCAGGTAGATGACAGTTAAAGTTAGGCACTGGCCAACTTCTTGCTTTTAAGTTGCAGTTTTAGAAGAACATCTGAGAAAAAAATAACCAAGTGAGGCCTTTTTGGTCTCATACCTACTGAGTTCTTGATGCTCAGGCCAGGGTCCTATTCTTGCTGAATCTGAAACAGGAAACACCCAACTACATAGGCTCTCATCTCCTTCCAAAGCCTAACACTCCAAAGTTAAAGCTGCAGACTGGGCAAATGGCAATAGTCCTGAGACAGAGGGACTACACTTCACTGTCAATTCTGAGTGAGTTGCAACTTCCAGATCATGCAAGTACTTTTTGGCTTGTTAAAATAGTCTTAGTTCAATAGCTGCTAATTGCTTGTTTTAACTATTGTTTTTTATTACTGTTGTAAACCACATTTATTTTTAGTCTGTAGACTTTGCTGGACCTGATGAAACAAAACTTCACATAATGCTAAGAAATCATATTTCTTCACATTCCCCAATCCTACCACCCTTGGGATTTCTATTGTTCACTCACTTGAGCAGATTTCCATGCAAAACCTTAAAATACTGTTATATTTAAGCTCTCTAGTTATGCAGTGTTAACACTACTAAGGGAGTAAGATGATATTTGATTTCTATGTGCTATGTTTATAGAGTTCCCAAAATAAAGGTTGATAAAAGCTAACTGGATGACAAACCTAGCTATAACATAATTATCATGAGTTGATATCAACTCTGAACTACATTTTTGTGAAAACTTTTTGTACTTGACATTGAACGAACGAGGAAAAATTATGTTCAAAAGATTTTAATGAAATATATTGTACCTCTTTTTATTTCATGTTTTCTCTCTTAAGATTAATTTATTTAAGTCATTTCATTTCCCCACCCCCACCCCAACCAAGTAGGTAATAAGCAGCTATTTCACTATTTGTTTCTAAACATAGAGGGTTCAGCAAATAACTAACGAGCCCTTAGCAATTCACCTTAAACTGAGCAAGAGAGCACATTTTAACATTTTTCAAATCCTAGTGTTTAGATCCATTGAATAAGCATAACTAGGGAGGGAGGAGAATGAGGGAAATAGAGGGGAAGGGAGGGAGAAAGAAAGGAATATTTGGAGATAACATTTCTTATTAAGAAAGGCAGACCTTAGTCTGGTGTTATTGAGTTTATGTTAACCAGAAGGTGGCATGATTGTAGATGTCCGGAATTTGGGATCTTGGGCAGATGATAGGCAAGGGATATAGACAGGGAAGTTCAGAACTTGATGCTACTAGTACTGCATGAGATTAGCTGATGATATTTAGAAATATTCATTATCCTCATTGCTATTATTTATTAAGTGCTTAGGGGCTGGCTATAAAGAAGATAGGTATGTTCTACATTTATTATCCTCACTAAACCACTGAGTAGGTAATTCTTTGAAAAGTAAATAAGACTTAGGTTTAGTAGCAAAAGAACTTCCTCTAAAGGTAACACAATTAGTATGGAATATGGAACTTGAACTTTGGTCTTTATGACTCTAAAGTTCCCTGCAACAGTCAATTGCAGATAAGTAAAGGTCCACAACAGCTTTTCGTACTCAATTGATAGGAATAATACAGTAGCTTTTTTTTTTATTATTACTCTGTCCACATGAGTGACTGTTGGGGTCAAATTACTAAAATCTGCTAATGGCTACTATGCTCTGAGTGTAGTCCTGGTAGTTTTAGCAATTAAAAAGTATTCAGTGATTACTAGTCTCATAAAAACCATAACATGTTTCTAGAAAGGAAAAGGCAGCGACCCCACTTTTTCAGTCATCTCATTGCATGTGCATTTGGCAAATCTGTCACTGCTCTGACTGTTGTCTTTTTCTTAAATGTAAGTATGTCTTTGCATGGGTTTCTTTCCTTTGTGATCTATTGTGTTTCCCTTTTAAAATCATAGCTTGGGAGCTGTTTAATCATATCGCTTATAAAAGCAAGGTCACAATTTAGTATGAATGCTTTTAAATGAACAGCACTTGCTGAAATGATGTACGATAGTGCAGCCATGTTCCCATGACCTGTTGTTATACCTCTTGATATTTTACATGATCTCCAATCAGTTGGACAGATAATAGCCGGAGCCTTGGAAGCTGGCTGCCACTGCCGCCACGATGCTGAGTCTGGTGCCGGGGGCGCCCATGACCGGGAGAAGCTCCAGAGGAAGCGGGAGATCGACACAGGTGCAGGTAAGGCCACATCATTACGTGGGAAAGATGTTCAGAAATCCTCTGCAAAAGACAGCCTCTTTCTAACTTTCATCTTCCTACCATCCTTTTCTCTATCACCAACCTTTATTTTCCTTTCAAAAAATGACTGTGGCTTGAGATAGTTGAAAGTCCTAAGGGGAGCTTTACAACTGACATCAGATATGAATAATATTCTTTTTCAAATACATTGTTGCCTGGGATAAAAAGGCCTTAAAAAATGTTGGTAGGGATTTTCAGATCAGTCTTATTTCACAGCCTGCTTCCCACTTAGTTGACCACGGAGGAGGATTTACCCAATGAACCCATGGAAGCTGCGGAGGGCCAGGGCACGTTCTACAATGATGTATTCAAAAATTTTTTTTTTAAATTAGGGAAGAATTTATTGCCACCAGCATGTGCCTCACTGGCTCTTGGTGAGGAGTATGCCAGCTGAAATAGGGCCAATTAGAGAGGACTCATCAGACCACGACTCATAACTATCTGGTCAAATTCCTGTGTCCTTGAAGTCAGGTTCCCCCATATTTAGTGTTACCTTTCAAAAAACATTCTGATGTGAATATTTGTGTGTGTGTGTGTGTGTACAGAAGTGATTCATCAAATGGTCGCCTTACCCCAACCTCCAATTTTCATTCATAGTCATCAAGCACTGTGACATATAAGATATTTTAACCCGATTTCCAAGCAAATAAGTTAGCCTGTTACAATTCCATAAATATTAGCTGAAGACACAAGACTTTTGAATCAGAGGAAAAGAATTTTATTACTTACAACAAATAACAGTAGCCAGAATACCTGCATTGACTCTGATTCCCTAGCGCCATCCTCCTGGTCTGTGTGGAAAGTACCAGAGGATACTCAGGACCCTGAGTTATAGGAGTAGAACTCTGAACTTGAGGACCCCCTCTTTTACAGTGGATATTCAACCAGAGGAGGTCTAGTATAGCTCTCCAAACATTCTGCAATGCAGGCATTGTAGTTGTTATCTGTCAAATATTGTCAGCTAAGAAAAATCTAATATATTGTCTGCAGGAGGGGGAAAGTGTGGCAGGAAGACTTGTGAGGGCTTTCTGTGAGCTGGGTGCTGTGACAAGCCTTTCATATGGGTTTACCCTCACAAGGAATGTGAGTCATGCATTCCCATTTTACAGATAAGAGAATGAGGGCTGAGAGAGGTGATATTTCCCAAATTTATAGCACTAAGTGACAGAGCTGGCCTTCTCATCTAGTTGGCTGATTCCCAAGTACTCAGTCTTCTAATTTGATTGCCCTTGTTTGTAAATATTGCTCCCCCTCTTTTAAGAAAGTAGTGAGGCTATCATAAAAAGAGTCATGTTTTCATACTGCTTTTTCTTACAGAGACATTATCTATTCTTTCTTCCTTGCTTCGGGAACGTCATGTCTCATTCTTCAAGTGTATGTGTTCATATAATAGCTCTGCTGGATGCCATTAGCTGTTTTTCCTCCTGGATTTAGAGAGAGTATATTATTACCTGAAGGCTAGGAAATTTTATTTTCGGGTTCTCCTGTGTGTTCTTTAATTAATCTATAAATATAGGCCTGCTTAGCAAAGCAAGGGGCTTTATTTAAATGTTTTGCATAACTGACATTTTAATAATACTTTTCATGCAGGAATTTGAACAGCAAAATTTATACTACTAAAGAGACTTGACATACATTGTTATTTTTCATTGTTTCAATTTCATTTTTTTAAAAATTGAGTGATAATCTGTAATGAAAGAATATGGACCATATTCTCATAGGTGAATTGCCTGCATGTTCTCTGAGTGAATATTTGGTTCTGCATTTCTCTCTGGGAGCTTCTAGATGCAATTTAGGAAATAAGTGCTATGTCTGAGGACTACCTATGTAAGTCAATATCAACTCCATTAATAGACCTGTAATTTCCGTTTTACTCATTTAAAGGAAACAGCAAAATTTACCTTCCAAATACATTTTTTCGTGTATGCAATATCAGCTATTATCGTGTTCAAGATGGTTATTGTAGTACTTGGAGGGAGGCCAAAGAAATAAACAAGGATGCCCATGTTTTGTATTAGGAGAGGAAAAAGCTGTATGACTATCCTGTGTTGGGTATCAGAATGGGGAAGACAGCAGACGAGAGGTGTTCAGGCCCAACCAGAAACAACCTGGTAGATTGTTGTAATGAAGTGGAGAGTGAGATGGATAGCAAAAAACAATTAAAAAAATTTTGAGGCAGCTACATTTTCTACTCTATAATTATACAGAAATTGGAGATGGACACCATGTTATAATATAATTTTATAACAGCTAGTCCAATGTCTTCTATAAGTGAAAAAGTTTAGTTAATAGAAATTATTAAGATAATCAGTTTAGAAGCTATCTCTCAAAGTGTTATTTTCTGTAGCCAGAAAATTTAAAATCTGGGTATTTGGTATGCTGTGCATTTATTTACTTTGCATAGATTAAATAAAGTGCATGTGCTTGTTAAATAATAAAAATGTATATGTATGTATAATATAAATAAGCAATATAGGACATTCATTTGAAGCCTTTATTAAAAAGTATTGAACCTCATGTTATCAAAGTATGACAGCTAGTACACCCAGATCTGCCAGGGAATCATCAATGAAAACTTATGAAATACTTCAAGAAGCTTATTTATGCTGAAAATTGTCCCAGACTACAAAGTGCTGTCTTCCTCTGTGATCCAGTTTTGCCAAAGGCAAATCAGTTTCTGAATGTAGGTGGGAGGTATCCTCACCTGCAATACAAATTGGTGTCTTTAGTAAAAAGTCTTACCTTGAGCCACAAAGTTATTTGAAGACTAAATTTAGATACAGTAGCTTTAAAATGTGGGCGTAATGTATGGGGTAATGATTAGCTCCCTTTGTATTTGGATGGGGTGCTAAATGAGCACAAGAAGCAGGCTGAGGACAAATACTTTATGTGCTCTGGAGAATAAAGCCTTCTAAGAAGATGAAATCCTTCATTTTCTTTTTGTATAACTTTTCTTGAAGTCCTAATATTTCAAATGAAAGGAGGAGGTGTGTCTCTATCGTTGTGTGTATTTGTGAGAAAGACATTGATTTTGAGATTCTAAAACTATGAAGTTATTTCTCTGTTTTCAGTATTTCTGATGTTCAATTTTCCTTTTATATCAAAATGTCCATTAAATTTGATAGCATTTCTTTTCATCATGGAAAGCCATTATTAAATCATGGTGCATGTTATGGTTGAAGGCATCATAGAATCAAGGAAATGTTTTATATATACAATTTATATCCCCTTCATATCATAAATAATCTCTCCTATATTGTATATAAAAATTATGAGAATATATAGAATATCTCCTCCCTTTTCCATTTTGATTATGTAACCTTGTTTTCTAAACTTGTTTTTATAGCACCGGATAGTAATTCTGTGGTGCAAAAAAGGGAAGAACTCAACTCAATCAAGGGACCTAAGCAGGTCACACCAGAAATGTATACAGTGGGGGAGAAAGAAGTGGCAGAGGAAGGTGAAGGTCCCCAACAGAGGCATGCAGAGACAACAGAGGAACAAGGGGATGCAGCACTATGTGGGGGAGTGGGGGCTAACGAGGCTCCATTGGGGGAGTGGAAGCCAAGAGCAGCGCAGGCATCCTTAGCAGAGCAGTCCACAGAGGAAAGAGAACGCCCACAGGTTGTAGCAAGTGGGGCAGGGGCAGAAACAGAAGGGGGAGGAAGGCTGGGGACAGAGGTGTTCCATCCAAAGGGACAAGAAGCAGCAAGAGACCAGGCAGGTATGAATGAAGATGAGGTTCCCCAAGAGCAGAATTCAATGCAGACAGGGCTGGAGAGAGAGATGGCAGTTTCTGAGGAGGAACGGGATTTGGAGAAGGCAGTGTTGGCATGCAGTGTGGCCATGAAATCAGAGCATATTCAGGAGGCAGTGGCCCTGAGAGACACAGTGGAGGTAGGCGAGGCCGAGATGGGGGCAACCATGAGCGAGGTGGTGTCTGAGAAACCAGATGAGGACGACAGCGAAGAGGATGCATTCACAGACCTAGAGGACAAGGGACTCATGGGAGAGACTGTGCCTGAAAGAGAGGGTGGTCTAGGAGGAGCGACGGTTGGGGGAGAGGAACCTACCAAAGAGAGGAAGGAAATTATGGAAATGAAAACACCTTTGAGCTCCTCAACGTCTGAGGTCATGGAAACCCTGGGGGGACTTTCCGGGGACAGCTTCCAGAAACTTTGTAAGGAAGATGTGGGGAGGGAAAAGGTTGAGACTGAGCCAGAATTTAATAAGGAAGATGGTAGGAAAGAAATGTTACCTGAGGAATTTGATGCAACAAGAGAGGAGAAGAAAGCTGAGAGGCCAAAAACAATTCTGGCAGTAACTGAACCTAAGAGAGAAGAGGTGACAGGAGCAAATGAATGTCAGGATGAAGACACTTTAGAAGAAGAGCAAAAGTTTAAAGGGGAAGAGGGGCAAACAGTGAAGGAAGTTAGACCTGAGGAAGAGACACAAGCTCTGGCTAATGAAGTGGAGTGTGATGCTGAGCAAGAAGCACCTATTGGGGCATCAGAACTGACTGAAGGCACCGAGTCGCAAGAAGTTTTGCTGGCAGAGACAGGGGTGACTGCATTTGAAGTGGTACCTGGGTTTGAAAAATCAGTGGAAAACATAACTGCTCCAAGGAAAGAGGGAGACACAGAACACACAAGCAAGGCAGAGTTACTCCCCAGGGAGACGGGGGCTTCAGAGGAGGAAGAGGGGTCAGTCCTTCAGGGAGAGGGTGTGTTAAGAGCTCCTGAAAGTGAGCTCACAGAAAAGCCCAGGGCATTTGAGGAGAGGCTCATAGCCACAGCTGAGGTTCAGGAGTCTTCAGCCAGAGATCAAGATGGACACGCAGGACAAGAGGGGAAGGATAAAGAAGAGCCTTTACAGGAGCCACACATAGGGAGGGTGATGGCAACAACCCAAGAAGCTGTTTCTGAGGGGGATACTCCGATGGCAGGAATGTTGAGTGAAGAAGCCACGGTTAAGGACCCAGAGGAGGAAGTGGGTAGAGAGTGCACCCCTGAGATAGAAGTGGTGATGGATGGGGACACAGAGAGACATGGTAGCTTCCCAGGAGGAGCAGTTGTGGCTCAGGAAGATCTTCATCAAAGAGGAGGAGCAGAGGTAGAAATAGCTGCAGAGAAGAGGGAGGTGTTGGCAGATTCCAGGACAGCTGAGGGGAAAACAGATGCAAATAAAGCCTCTTCCTTTTCAGATGTTGCTGGGGAGGAAACTTGGCATAAAGTGGATGAGTTACTAGGAAAAACAGCAGCTGCACAGAAGGTGGTGGTACAGGAACTAGTGCTGAGGGAGGAGGTGACAGTGACTACAGCTCCAGATACTAAAGTGGAGTGTCTCCCTGCACCTTCAGAGTTGGCAGGGAAGAGCCCACAGCTAGGACAGGGTCAAGAGGGAGGTGAAACTGAAACCATTCTGAGAGCAGAGTCAAGGGTAGAGGAGGCAGAGACAGAGAGCCAAGCTGGGGGGCAGGAGTCAGCAGTGGAAGAACTCAGACTAGGATTGCCCCAAGGGAGAGAATCAGAGCCAAGTAGAGAGAGTCTACAAGATATGGAAACACTTCCTGCAAAGCCCAATTGCACTGCAACCCGAGAGAAGCAAGAGCTAACAGTGCAAAAAGAAAGTGAGAACACAGATGTTCCCCTGAAGAACACAAAGGCCTAAGAGACTTCATGGCAGACGGTGAGTTTAAGCCTGATCTGTTTGCAGGATTAAACAGACAGCCCATCTGGGGTTCCCTCCCATTTAGATTCCCTTATCCCTTTGTTAGCTCGTGTGCTTGCGTGCACATGTACACACGCACACACTCACACTCACACATACAACTTTCATTTCTATGCTGTTTAGCCCCAAGCGCATCAGGACAGCAGCTGGGTAAGGGAGATGGAGCTACTGCACACACACAGGGACCGTCTTCTACTCCCTTTACAACCCCAAGGCACATTCTGCTTTGCAAGCCTAGCTCTCCGAAGTAGTGAGTGCCCTATCTCCCTTCCAGGGGCCAACGATGAAGTACAGAATATGCCACAAGGACACACCACAGAGGGGATGAGTCAAACTCTATCCCCAGAATCTGTTAAAGCAGTGCTTGTGAATATTTGCTATCCAATGCAACCTTCGCCTTCATTTTTGCAGTTTGGTAAAGGTTAATGTTTACATATACCTACAAATATGGACTCAATATTTTAAGGCATATTGCTACTCTATTCTATATATACACAGATACATGCACAAATGGAGGTAATATATATGTATCTATACAAAACACTGAAGTTTGCTATGAAGGACCACAATTGCTTTAGTATTTCTTTCCCTCCATGTCCTTGATGTCTTTGTATGTTTAGTGCAGTTTCTACTGCCAGTTTCTACTATTCTGAGTGATTATGTTCATAATTTTTTACTTTTTATTGTTTTCAGGGCATTTTAAAGGTGTCTTCTGGAAGACTTAAAAAGTGAAGAGAGACTTATTCGAGCTTCTTGCCTGAACTTTAAATTCTCTCTTTCTCTGTCACTCTTTTGTCTGAGCTGGTTCTGAATCTGTCAACACTGAAGCTTAGTGAGCACTTTGAAACTAGATCCATAGAGAAGTAGAATGCTTCCAGGGGCAGTGATTCTTCATGAAGAACTGGAAGAATGATACATAGTCGACATAGTAATATTTCTATATTCAGATTGATTGCTAGATTTCTTTTTACCAAAAGTCACCTATAAGACACAGCCCTGCTGACTGGAGTTTGCTTAAATTCTTCTTTTTATTATCAAATGTTAGTCCCAGTTAGTATACAAGAATTTTATTTAAAATCTGTGGCTTCTGGCTTTAGTGAATCTATGAAAATGAGCTTTAATTCTTCCACTTTTGCTTAATACTAAAGATTGCTCCAGACCTTCAAGTCCTTCTAGAAAAGGGTTCCATGACATGTATATACACAGTACATTTAGAAATATTCATACTTCCTATTATCCAGAGGACTAATTTAAAGCAGAAATCATTTCCAAGTACAATTGGTTTTGAGTGTGTGTTTCTGTAGTTTTGCTTCCCGAGGTACACTGGTAAATACTTGTAGCATATCATTCCTGGGGACCTGATAGGGCCACTCAAATTTGAATCAAGATAATAAATAATTTAGCTGCATGAAATGAGTATAACCATAATTATAGTGGATACACATTACACATCAGCACATATTCTAACATTCTATACTCTTTGGTTTATGTCATTCAATGGAAAAGAAGTGGATTTAATTACTGTGGTGCTCACTGTCCCAAGTTCTGTTATTTCAAACCTATGAATTAACCTTGCAGTGCATTGTAAATCAACATTCACAAATGCTTTAAATTACCCCCTAATATTACTAGAATAGGTTGTATACCACTGTACCTATTGGGGATTTTTATTTTCTTGAAGACACCTCAATTCATATTCCAGTATTCCAAAAGGCACATATGTTTGATCATTTTTTGCTGTGAAGGGTTGAAAGAAAATATCCTAAAGCCATGATTCTCTAGTTGGATGTCACATTAGATGTTAGATTTTCATGGGACCCCCTTCATGCAGGAGTCAACTTCTAACTCCACTCCAGAGAGACTTTGATTTTTAGATGGGTATATGTATATATATATATATGCATACTTAAATTGATTCTATTTTGCTGCTGAAATTGAGAATGTTTGCCCTAAATCATCACACAATCCATGTTAGCTGCCCTATGTCCCTCTGGACCAGGCATAATTTTATAGGTTCTCTTCATTTTAATAAACAAAAGATATTTCCAATGATCAAAGATTTAACAGGCCAGTGGTTCTCACAATGTGGTTGCTTGATCAGGTATCAGCTTTACTTGGAGCTGTTCCAAATACAAATCCCAACCCTCTTCTCATACCTTTTAAATTGGAAGCTCTGTGGGTGGGGTCTAACAAATGGTGTTTTGATAAGCCCTCTGGGTAATTCTGATGTACACTAAAGTATGAAAACTGCTGTTGCAGATACTGTATTTTATTGAGGATTAGTCTCATTTGGAAAATGGTTGCAGAAGCATTTCTCTCTCCTTACATCTTTTTATCTACAACTGTCTCTTTCTTTCTTTAGGAAAAAAGTGATCACTATTAAAGTGATTAAGTCAATTTATGCTTTTATGATGACTAATGATGTGTAAATGAATGAAGCCTTTGAGTTCCTGCCCTATCCACGGATGACTACCACTATGACACATAGTCATTGCTCTCTAATATCTACTTACATTTATGGGTGAATTTCATTTATATTGTATTCAATTTCATTCATCAGTAAGCTGCATGACTGTGGAGATCTATAGTATTTGTTTCCTGAATTCAACCTCAATGCGATAAAGCACTTTGAATGCATAGCACCTTATGGAAAAGATTATAAACTTGTTAATTCCATTGAAGAAATTAGTTTTGTACAATGTGCTAAATGGAAATTGCCTTGGATTATTTTTATATTTAACACATTCCATCAAAACATTCTGTAACAAATTCTACAATCTGCATGTGGGTTTAACTGTGAAATTCAGTGTTGTGATATTTTGATTAAATGAATTCTTTCTCTGCAAATACTATGTTGGTGAAATTATTTGTATGTTCAGCTGAACAGATTTTTCCCTAGTTTCATTATTAAAAGCATAAATAGTCCATATGTTTACAGATAAAGAGATGTGAATGGATTTTTATAAATAAGACAGGATTTTTAAAATCTTCTTTGTCCTTGCCTTATCAAACATGAACTCCATAGAGGAAAGAGCAGAGGCAAAGAAAATTCATTTCATTGGGCTGTATTTTTGAGCATATATGTTCATATGGCTAACTGCCATATGTCTTTCGTATTGGTAGGATAATATCAGATGGGGAAATTATTATCAATATGTTATAGGAAAGTACATAGAACTCAATATTAAGTAATTTGTTTAAAATAACCAAGGTGTCTGCATTCAAACCTTGACCTCTTTCATCACATACACTTCATGGAGTAGGTAGTAAAATATTATCTATGAACTATTCATATTTTTTGCTTATTTATAGAAGGGGGAATCAAAATCTCAACAATATATCCTATATCAGCAAAAAGGGAATTATATTTCAAAGAATACAAAGATTATTTAAATAAATCAAGTGAAAACTAGACAACCAACATAAAGGTAGGTAGAATTAGGCTACTTGAATTTTTTGAATTAAGCATTTCAATGGATGTATGATCTCTTGTGTTATTAAAAATATAGCTGTGTTAACACTTCTAAGTCAATAATTTTGCCATGGTTATTGTCCTTGGAAGATGATTGCTTGAGAAACGAAAAGAAAGCCTTAAGAAAGATTCATCGTATAAGTGAAATATTTCAGCAGTTCCACGGACAGCCCAAGGGAAGCCACTTCTGACCTTGGGTAATATTTCCTTTTATACCAGGTTGTGTCATTTAAGAAAAGTCCCTGTCACCATGACCAGCAGCAAGAGGTACAAGAGAACAGGGAATAAATACAGCTAGAATTTTTAAAAGTTATCTCAAACTCATCCTTTTTTTCCTCCTTTCTAATATCATGTCCTGTGACAGGAAAACTATGCTCTTCAAAATAACAGGAAAACTTTGTAAGATAAAATGCTAGATATTTGAGCATGCATTTTTCTTGAAATTGTCAGAAGACTCAGATGATTTAACAGTCTGCAACCTGATGGTATTTTGGAATGATATAATTCTCCATCTCTTATTAGGGAAATTGAGGTTCCCAGAATTTCTGAAGCAGATAAGCTTTTTATAAAGTCTATTAATAACCACTACTCTGGGGGCCTCTCTGGTGGTACAAGAATCATGTCTCAGCACTATCAGTCTACTAGCAGCCACTGAGTGTGAGTTCAAATTCCAGCCAGGGAGTTGAACCACATGGCACAGAAGGCCTCTCTTGTCTTGCCTGCTGCTCCCCTCACAAGTGTATTTTAGTAGGTCCATTTATCCTACTACCCACTCTGTCTCTGGCAAATCCTCTCACCTCCAGCACCTCTGGCCTGCACCTCAGTTCTCGTATGCATAAATGAATGAATCTTTAAAAGAATCAGTATTCTGCCTACTATGTCAAATGTTTCCTGGTCCTTGTTAAATATTGATTTATAATTAGAGATTATATTATGGATGATGCTATAGGAGAAATCTCACAGTTGTTTAAAAGTTTGGTACTGGTGTGAAATAGGAACTTTCAAGAAGGTGAGTGTGTACCCTTGAGGAGAGATGCATTTTTTTTCAAGGAGTCCACTGACAAACTGCTTTGCAGATTTTCGACCTTCACATGCATTTTTGTCATAAAATGAATCTAAGAACTAGGCAAGGTCCTTCCTGTTTACCAGCCCTTCACTCTCGTTTCATAATGATTTCAAGCCTCCATTCATTTACCAATTTTACTGTTGTTTCTAGAATGTCACAAAAGGCAACAATTTCAAATATGGGATAAATGCTGATAAAGGGAGTGACCTCAATGACCACCCAGCAAATCCTTCTGCAAGTCATTTGTAATACTTTGTTTTCAAAATAACTACAGGAGAAACTGAATTGTCAGCTAACAAGCCATTAAAAATTTTGGTATTTTATCAGTCTATGGATTTTGGTAAAGCATTGAGAAAAGTTCAAAGGAGAACATTTCTGTACTGTACAACCAAACTCCACCCGCCCCCATGTATGTGATATGCACAATAGCAACACAAAATGGAGCAGAACTGATGTCGAATATTTTCATTCTGGCAGTAATTTTCATTCATAGAGGCAAACTAATTAAAAATAGAAATCATCTTAAGAGATGCATTTTAATGTGTAAAGTTTATCAAAATTTATAGTACATGGATGCTGTTTTGATCAAATATGTGATCGTAATTATCACAATGTTAGATCAGTCCAGAAGAAATTTAACACAAGGAATTTTGGGTCCACAATATACTTTAAAAAGCTAAATTTTAATCTATATAAACATTGAGTTGCAGCAAAGGATGACAGGGCCACCAGCTAAAAAAAAAAAAAATCTTTCAAGCCTAAAAATATACTACAATGGAATAGAAATAGTTGGGTAAAGTAGAAATGTAAATGTGAGAATAAAGTAACATGAAACTGCCTAATGCTAACAAAGAGTTTAGTCCTGTACTTCATAAAAATGGTATCTTGGGTTAGGTTTCTTAGGAAACAGTCCAGAAGAGAGGTGTATACACAAAGGTTTTTTGGAGTGTGACCTTGGGAATATCAGCATTGGGGAGTTGAGCAGAAATTGGTGCAGACAAAAGGTGAGCTATGACGCAGTTGCTGTGGAGGCTGCATCCATTTCACAGGGGTGCCCAGATGCCAGAATGAAGGAGGGGGCTGATCTCAGTGCCTGAAATAAACCAGTCACTGGCTGTTGGTTGTCTCCCCAAGAGGAACCACGATCTTCTACTTGTCAGCTCCCTACAGCAGGCGTCACATCCTGTGCAGACAATCAGGAACCTGCACAGGTCCTGGCCTGGGCAGATAGGGGGGTGAATGTGGAGGCTGAAAGTGTGCGCAGATAGGGGGTGAATGAGGAGGCTGA